GTCTAGACCACAAGCTGTAAAAGAGTCTAAGCAGGAAGTCACTTTAGATACAAAAGCAGGAGTGATTCAAATTTCAAGCAATGGATCAGCCTGTTTGTCGGCTATATCAAGTAGGATGTGATTAGTGAAATCATTAGATGAGATTGATGAAAAGTTCTTAGCAAATTATTCGGCTTTGTATTTAGGTGTGGTAACAAAATCTAAACCATGCAAGAGAGAGAGAGAGAGAGAGAGAGAGAGAGATAGAGGAGGAATAAAAAATTTATTATTGACACTTTTAAAAGTGTCAGTAATAAGATCCAATTTTTAAAGTCTCTGAAACCTTATTTTTGAGATGAAATACGAGATTTCGTGACCTAAGAATAGTGGGCTTTGATGTTAAATAAAACCTTTTTACAATAGTCTCTAACAATAGTAAACAGACATCTATTTTGATGATGAAGAAAAATAAGATAAGAGTTTTAGAGAGATCAAACTGTGATCAGAAGCACCTATGGGTGAATGTGGAGAAACTGAGCATTAACTAAGATGAGAAACAAGACATAAGTCGAATAGAGAAGGTAAATGATTCCAATTGTCTGGAAAGCTAGTTGGAAAGTTCACTATTTGTGTTAGAGATTAAGAAAGTTATGGGCCATAATGCCTGCAGAGTCACTGACACTAGAACCGAGACATTCAGTGCGATGAGCATTAAAGTTACCAATGACAACGATATTGGCTGAAGGATAAAGAGAATAGGCTTGGTCAATTGATTAGAAATAACATCGAAAAAAAGTGCAGTCTTGAGATGAAGGAGAGTGATATAGAACAAAGAAAAAGGTGATGGAGTAAAGTGGTGCTAAACAAAAGCACATAAAAGAATAGTCGGTGGATTCATACCTAGTTTCCCAATAAATGGGTGAATTTTTATGAATGTATATGCCCAGGTCAAGCATGTGACTATTGGAGTTTTTAGGAATTAAAGTAAGGTAACCATCAACACTAAAATCACAAGATGAGACAGCTGAACTCAAATTAGTCTTACAAATGCAAGTAGACCTGGTGAACATGGCAAAAGATAAGACTCAACAGAAAAAAAGTTACTTCAAAGTCCACAAATATAAGGGAATGATAGGTTTAGAGAACTTGATAATGACGATGGTTTTTTGTGTTTTATAGTTTTTAATACTTTAGTCATTATTTAAATTGGTTAAAGAACTTGACTTAAAGCGCAGGTTGAACTCAGTACACTATCTAATATTTCAAGCAATTTCCTAATTACTATTAATAAAACCAAAGCCATAACAAAGGGCTCTAAATGTGGTCTCAACAATGCACTCCAAAAATACGAATAGGGACATCATCCATGTCCAATATGGCACTGTTAGTACTCTGATATTTTATAGTTGTTAATTGAATCAGCGTCTCTCAAAACTGCCACAGAGTTTGGGAAACCTGACTACCAGCCAACCTCAGAGCTATAATACTGAGTTATAAAACTGTACCCATATTAGAAGATAATAGAATGAGTTGCCTATTGATAAAAGCAGAGACATAAGCAAAATCCGTGCAATGAGTCAAAAAGATTTAGCATTCGACATCCTAAATTGGAAACAATGTATTATAAATACATCTACACCAGCCTTATAGATGAAGAAGGGGGTGCAAAGCTGGTCAACAGATAAAATCTGTTTAATCTATAAGTTTTTGCCTAGAAGGCCTTCTATAATACAGTAGCTGGATGCAGTTAACATCTGTTCAAGATGAGTATTTTATTGAGACACCACTTCTAGTTTTAACTCAATCAAGAGTCCCAAGGCAGGGGATTTTTAAGTGGGAGTTTGTTTCTTCTAGCCTTTGCCTAAAAAAAGCAAACTCTACAAGGCAGAAGGGCATGGACAGATACTATTGGGTTAACTCAAGCATATAGTAGAATTTGAAAATGTCAATCATTGTGGAATGTATATATTCATAGCAGCAAGTCTGCAGATAAGGTTAATGTGGCTGAAATCTGTGTTAGTAAAAAATTGCTGGTTTCCTTAGTAAACAATTGAGGTTGATATTTGACCGGGGTCAAAAACATTCTAAAGTACAACTTTTTTCTTTAAAATTTATGTTTGATTTTGTATATATGCGTTTATAAAGATCATTATGATCAACATGATTATCATCATCATCATCATCATCATTATTGTCATCAAAACTGTCATTATTATTATTATTATTATTATTATTATCATCATCATCATCATTATCATCACCATCATCATCATCATTATTATCATCATCATCATCATTATTGTCATCATCACCATCATCATTATCATCAATATCATCATTGTCATTATCATCATCATCATCTGCTGATGATGATGACATCATCATCAGCAGATGATTAGCCTTCCTCTTTTATGTTTCTCTAATCATGGTCAATGCTCAAACGAGCTATCATCTCTATTACAATAAACCAAAACTCATAGCTTCTTATTCAACAAGTTGCATCCCTTTACTGTATCTGTCCCTATTTATTAAATACTAGCATAAATATATGCCAGAATCTAATAAATAATAAATAAGTAAGTATAAAATTATAATATATAAAGAATTCTAAATTAATTTCTAGCCCCGCCTATCAACCCTTGCTAAATCTTATAATTTGGCAGGGCCAGGGCCGGATTTGCAAAAAGTCTCATTTTTACACGAGGCCGGGACCCCGATCACTTACTAGGTTCCCTGGCAGACTAGATAGAATGCAATATATGGTGCAATATGCAGGATCTCGGAAATTAAAGACAAGTTAAATCTAATAACAGATGCACTGCAACTGCCAAAGTTTGACAGAGATAAAAAAGATTTTTTGATGGAATACAAATCAATGATGGAACCATTAGCTGTGACACTAAATCAGTTGCACAAATATTTTCACTGTGTTCCTTCTTATTTAGAGGAGTTCTACTGTTCTGACACTAATAACCACTGTAATAACAGCCAGTTTTTTCATTGCTTTTTAAAATTTTTCATTGTTTTTATTAAATTTCTTAGGGTTTTCTATCAGGAGTTGATTTCCGAGGTTGTTTTCACAGCACTGAAGTAACAGCTGTGCTGTCGTTTCTTTTTGTCTGATGTCTGTACATCTCTTGAACAATATGCAGCAACTAATAAAGTTTGCCCACTCTTCTTCTGAAATATCCTGACCAATGTAGGGACAATCTATTTTTCAGTCCCTAATGCTTTGGGAAGGCTGAATAGATATCAATCCAGTTTAGAGGATAGTGAAATTGGTAGCTGTTAAATAATGGTTTGATTGCAATTGGTTTGCTGAGACCTTTGATTGTAACATAGCATTCTGGGGCCTAGCAAGCTAAGCTTATTGTGGATATTTTGTGGGAAAAAAAAAGGTTAGCAAAATCCTATCTTTTTGTGCATTGTACAACTTCAAATAAAAATTGTAAACAAGTTACAATTTCAATCACTGACAAGAAGTTTTTATTCTTGTCAGTGATTGAAATTGTAACTTGTTATAATATTCTTAAGTTGTTAATTCCACTATACATGGATAAACTAACATAAACAAAAAATAGCTGTTGTTACATATCATATCATATATCTTGAACAATATTAGTTTCTGTATAACAATAAATATAAATAATAAAAATAAAACAAGAAATAAGTAACTTCATATTTCAGCAGTTGCTTATCCAGGATTTTTATCAAAACTTATTACACAAGAACTAAAAAGTCTTAGTATGCATTATTATTTTTTATCATACTGAATACATACATATTGAAATTATTTGATTTCAGTGAAATAAATATAGATTAATATAATATACATTATGTCTGTATATATTTGAATTCGCAATTCCAGCTCAGAGCTATCATTTGGTGAAAGACCAGCAAGTTATTGAGAAAATATAGCATAGAGCAAAAAAAGATACCACAAACTAAAAACTTTAAATTACCAGTTCAGATCTCACATCTCTAGTTGATTGCAGTAAACAGGGTGAGGTCACTCAAGTATTTTTATTAACAGAAACATCAACATAATTATTTGACACTTTCCTTTTATTACAATTCCACTAAGTGCTAATCATAGAGAGAGACTTTACCAGGAAAAATACAACAGCAATTTAATTTTTTTAATTCTTTAACAACCACATTACCAATACATGGAGCAATTTGCCTGAAATTGAAGTACACTCTTCATCTGTCAACATTATTAAGTGAGCTTTGGCTCTAAAGTTAAAACAGCTTGCAACTCTCTTTAATGGAAGTTGCATGAAGAGTTTCACAAATGCTATCTATAATTTGACAATCTACACTTTGTATGGTGTCAATTGATTTTATTTTTGTTTTAACAAATATATACTAATAATACTACTTATTTTTATTTGATACCCGTTTTGTGCATTCAGATATAAATTTAAAAAGTTATTACATTGAAATTCAGTGAAAGAGTGCAACCTGGTATGTAAAGTCCCATTTAAGGTTGCATTTATTTTTTCATGGTCTCTGGTTTCCAGAAGCTCTAAACATCCTGGTTGATTTATGATCTGCTATTAGAAAAAATGTATGATTCTAAATGAACTAATTTTAGGCCTGAAGTCCTGGATTCCCACAGTCCTTGCTGCCATTATACTTAAAGACTCCAAGTTCAAAAACTGATTGTTACTCTAACCTAAAATTATTGATTTATTTTTATAGCTCTTGGATACAAAAAACTAAGAAGAAGTAATCTTTTTGTGACTTTCAAATCCGATATCCTTTTTGGGACTCCACATTACTGAGTACAAACATCACTAACTGAAGCCAAACTTACTTTTACCAAACTGACTTCTTTTATTTTAAGACTGTGGCTAAAAAAATGTTCTATGAATATATATTCAAATAAAAACAGATATTGTTATTTTTAATCTTAAGCGTATAATGAAAAAACAAGGAATAGCAAACAATAAATAATATAAAAGAAGGCATTGAAAAAAAGTCGGATTTAAAATTCCCTTAAAACATTTAGTTAATACCTCATTTGTTATTTCTTTTCGTGACCACTCCAAATGCTTCATTAACTTATTGAGTTGCAAGTTAGCAATTGCAACTACATCAGAAAGATCCTGGATTTCATTCATGCGACTCTCGTGGGTTTCCACAAGATTAAACTCATCCATAGTAACTCACTTATTAAATTTAAACTAGATATAAATTTAATTTTTTATCCTTGTTAGACAAACTTTATTCAAACGAGAATTTTTTGCTCAAGTTTAAATTAACTACAACGCACATTTTGTTTGTTAAAAATATGTAAACACAGGAAACATCGACGGGTACTAATTCGAAATAAATGGGACGTCCGACAAAATACACGATTAACCTCTTTGACAACAAATAGATATATATATATATATATATATATATATATATATATATATATATATATATATATATATATATATATATATATATATATATATATATATATATATATATATATATATATATATATATATATATATATATATATATATATGTATATATATATATATATATATATATATATATATATATATATATATATATATATATATATATATATATATATATATATATATATATATATATATATATATATATATATATATATATATATATATGTATATGGGGGGAGGGGGGGAGGGCGAGGGCAGCAAGTAAATAGGGGCGGAAAATTTTAGTAGTAGTAGTAGTAGTAGTAGTAGTAGTAGTAGTAGTAGTAGTAGTAGTAGTAGTAGTAGTAGTAGTAGTAGTAGTAGTAGTAGTAGTAGTAGTAGTAGTAGTAGTAGTAGTAGTAGTAGTAGTAGTAGTAGTAGTAGTAGTAGTAGTAGTAGTAGTAGTAGTAGTAGTAGTAGTAGTAGTAGTAGTAGTAGTAGTAGTAGTAGTAGAAAAATTGCTGCAACAGGTTTCCCTGTATAACCTACAGGTTTTGGCAGCCTTATCTACTTCATACACTAATTTTATTCATATCAATATATAAAAAATTACAATATATCGTATGAAGTATAAGTTTGTACTTTATTGTTTTTCCTTTTTTTTTTTTTTTTTTAGTTATAATCTCGATACTTATGCGGATTATTTGAAACTTATGCATCAAGCTTAGCCTTGAAACTGTTAACTGATGAAGCGCATACAACTTCTGACGGCAATGCATTCCAATGATTCACTATTCAATTAGTAAAAAACTGGTGCCTTTGCTCGCAATTTTGAACATATTCTCCAGTCATTTTTAGATGACGTTCTCTAATTTTTATTTTATCTGACTCCCCAACACGAAGGACATGGGGTTCACTCCATGAGACAATGTCTACATTGTTAATAATTTTATAGGCCTGTATCAGATCTCCCCTAAAGCAACGGGTTTCTAAAGACGTTAAGTTTAGTATAATCAGACGATCTTTGTATGACATATGACGGTACGAAGGTATTAAACGGGTAGCTCTTCTTTGTACTTTCTCGATTTTGTCAATATCTATTCTTGATGATGAATTACTGGCTGCTACCGCAAATTCCAGATGAGGTCGTACAAAGGTTGTATATAGAATTTTAAGTAGTTGCGAAGTCATGTGACTGAAAGTACGATACAACATGTCTAATACACGGTTAGCTTTATTGGTTGCAAAAGTTGAATTGTTATGCCATTTTAAGTCTGGCGTAATCATGATGCCTAAATCACGTTTGACTAAAGTCGATGCTAGTTCGACACTGTTATTATCATTAGCTGGCATTGAGTAGACATAAAAGTTGTTTTTTTTACCTATGTGCATGATTTTACATTTATCGAGATTAAGTTTCATTCTCCAGGTTTTACACCAATCGGCTATGTTGTAGATATCAGTTTGAAGCATTTGTGTAGCTAATGGATGGTCTAAACGGGCCAGCAGTTTAGTGTCATCAGCATACATTTTACATGAATGGTTAACAATATCGGATATATCGTTCACAAAAATTATAAAAAGTATTGGACCTAATACGAATCCTTGAGGGACGCCACTAAATACCTCAAGCCACAAGGAAACATAATCGCCCGTCACGATTCGTTGAAAACGCTGGTGTAAAAACGATTTTATCCAATTCAGGAGATTTCCAGTAAAACCATATGCCTCAAGTTTGTAAATTAGTCTCTTGTGGGGAACCATATCAAATGCTTTACTGAAATCTATAAAAGCTACATCCATAGATATCTTGTCAGATAATGCTTTTGACATCATGTCAATTGACTCCAACAAATTAGTCACACAAGTTTTTTTATTGACAAAACCATGTTAATTTTTTGAAATAAGGCTATGTTCGACTAAATGATTGACCATAGTGTCACGTAATATTTTCTCCATCACTTTACATACAACTGATGTTAAGGATATAGGCCGGTAATTGCCTGGGTTGAGTCTACTTCCGTTTTTAAACAGTGGTGTTACATTAGCTTTTTTCCATACTTCAGGACAACACCCACCATCTAGCGACTTCTGAAAAATTGCACATAAAGGTATTGAGAAGCTGTCAGAACAGTTCTTTAGTACATATGCGTTTACACCATCCAAACCAACGGTTTTATCAACTGATAAATCGCTCCGCTTGTTTTTAACCAGATCTTGCGTTATTTGCGAGTATTTGCAGATGGCTTCAGTTCGTTTTATAAAATATGGGAGTTCATCGTCTTCATTTTTGTTGAAAACACTTTGAAAATGATTGTTCAGCCGATTTGCAATTTCTATTGGATTTGTGATAGTGTCGCCATTGATTCCTTTTAAGGCTGTTATTGTAGTTCTAACATTTTGTTTGCTATTAACATACTTGAACAGGATCTTTGGGTTGTTCTTCGATTTTATCGCTAAATCAAGTTCAAACTCTCAACGAGCTTTATATATGAGCTTCTTCAATTGAATATTACACGCTTTGTATTCGTTGACTAGTTTAAGATTTTTATATCCATTTGCTCTACATCGAAACCATAGTTTATTTTTAGCTTTTATTTTATTCTTGATGTCGTCGTTCATCCATTCGCTTCTACGACAAATCCATTTTGATTTAGTCACTGGGACATTGGTTTTGCATGCAGCCTCGTAGTGGTTCAGGAAAATGTTATACCAGTCATCAGTATTGCGTCCATTGAATTCCATCTGCCAGTTGATATTGTTAAAATATTCGGATATCTTTACAAAGTTACTTTTATGATAAATGCGTTTTTTAATGTGTTTTCGTACAACTGCAGCGCTATTAACAACGTAATCCCATTGAAGGACGTGGTGAGATTTCTTAAGAGACGTTAAAGGTTCATGGTGAATAATATCGAGGACCCGATTTTCATTTTCGGCTATAATTAGATCAAGAGTGTTGTTCGATGTAATTTCATCAAGTTGAAAAGTGGGCTTAGTAACAAATTGTATCAAAAACGATTCGGCAAGGATGTCAATAAAATTACTTGAAAGGGTATCTGTGTTGCTGGTAGTTGGGATACTGCTCGAATCCCAGTTAATCCCTGGCAAATTAAAGTCTCCAAAAATCAAATAAAATTAAAAGCTGGAAAAACTATAGATAATGAAGAACTTAAAATTATAGAAACAGACAGTTTGCGATGGCAAAATCTTCTTCTTCGCTTAATTAATGTCTAGCTGAAAATAATATGGCTTTTTGAGGGAGTTCAGATAAACTGTTAACACCTCAAAACGGCAAATTCTTTGGACAATACAGATGCTTTCAAAATTTGTTCCTGTAATGCAAAAACATTTAGCACTTGCAATAAAAGGTGGCATTTTAGATCATTACTGCGTGAAAAATATTTAAAATGAGTATATAGATTTAATGTCTAAAAAAGTTAATGGTGAAATAATAAACCGAGTCTTAAAAGCCGTTTACTATTCAATCATTGCTGATTGTACCATTGATATTTCTAAAAAAGAACAACTTTTTCTTATATTTCGAATTGTTGACTTGTTATTAGTCATTAGAGTTTAAATTAAAGAGTATTTTTAGGGTTTTTTTCTGTTTCTGATTCTACAGGCTTAGGGCTTACTTAAAACATAAACAAAAAACATTTCTATATATGTAGCATTTCATTGCAAAGTATTATTTTTGAATTCGATTTGTTATTATTTTCTATATATATTAGGGTGTCCCAAATTTATACTTTTTTTTTAATTTCTATGTGCACGCAATTTTTTCCCATTCTCTAGTGTCCCCTGATTGCAAATATATATAAAAAAACATTGTCAGGCCACAATTTCAGCAATATGTAAAATTCCATTTTTTGTTAAAAACCAAAATTTTACACATTTTCCTAATAAAAATACTAAAGTGTGTCAAAAAATGTATATTTCAAGAATAATAAGTTATATATTTTATAACTGGGACTTGGAAAGATCTTTTTTAGCTTCTTTCTATTGTCCCTTGCCACCAGCATTAATTTTTGTTGCATATTGTCAGATTTATATCCACCTACAAAGTCCTGAATGAGGCGTATGTTTCTTTCAGCACAATCTTTGACGCAAGTCAAATTTTTAACAAATTTTTTGAACAAATCTAATGACTTTGGGGCTTTTTCCATCTTCCACAGCTCTACTTCATCATCAGGGACTTCTGCGATTTTTAACAGAAGCCAACTTTCTGGACCTACCAGTTCCCAAAGCTCAGTGGACTCTGATATGATTGGTAGCTCAGGTTTTCCAATCTTGAACTTGTCAGGAACATCGAACTGAACTAATCTATCCAACATCTCTTTTTTCACTTCCTGCTCTACATCATCATCAGCCAGAGATAGCAGCACCAACTGCTCAGTCAAGTACCAGGTATGTCTTTGCATACTAGCAATAAATGCTGAACAAAAATTGGGATATTTTTCTTTGATACAAAAAGCATTCTTAAAAGCTGCAAGATCATTTGAGGGTGAACTTGCAACCAAGTACTACTTTAGAAACCAAGGTGCATGCCATACAGATGTGAAAAAGGCTGCTGTCTCTATCATCTTTTTTTCCACTTCGCTCAAAATCATTGTGATTTTATCGGTTATTCTCAGGGTAAGAATGTATAAAGCATCAGCCATAAACCTAAAGAGTAAGATTTTGTCACCATTAATATTTATTTATTATATTCTTTTATTTATTTGTTATTTATTATACTTAACTTTTTTTCTTTTAATATACTGTACCTAGCTTTATGGCAGGCTCCAGGTTGATGAAAACACAGCCCAGGTATTTCTCCTCCCAAATAGAAAACAAAAAGCTCGCATAGTTTTCTGTAATCAATCCTCACAAAAGTTTTTGAGGCAAGGGCCTCTTTTCCAAACTCCAGAG